ATATATATATATATATATATATATATATATATATAACACATTGGTCACCCATTATTACCAGAATGAAATAGTGATTATTATTGTATTATTACTATAATAAAACTGTCAATGGGTGAAGGTGAAAAATAAAAAAACTATGGTGTATGATGGTCCTTTATTATATTTTATCAAACATTTTTACATGTTAAATATCATTTTTTTTGGTTACACTTTACAATAAGGTAGTAGTTAATGTTAGTTAATGCGTTTACTAAGAACAATATATTTATAACAGTATCTATTCATGTTAGATAAAGAACGTACAGATGTTAATTGTTAAATCATGTTAACTCATGTTGAAATAACTAATGTAAACAAGCATGAATTTGGATGTTATTAAAGCAGTATCAAATGTTGAACTATCATTTCTAAATGCTGCACATGCATTGTTCATTATTTGTTCCTGTGAGTGAACACATTAATGAAACCTTATTGTAAAGTGTGTCCTGTGATTAGTGTTATTACTTTAGTGATTTAGTATGCTGCCATTATGGTAATTACAAACTTATTACATTTCATGCTGAACTCATTACTGGCAAATTCACATTTTAGTTACATAAATTAATTACTCGTTATTACCATAATTAATGACCACAGTGATTATCATTATTACTATAATAAAACTGTTAATAAGTGCAGTACAAAAGTAAAAATACTATGGTGTATGATGATGCTTTATTAGATTTTATGACATATTTATATGTTAAAATATCAATTTATTAATAAAACTTTACCAAAAGTTATTAGTTAAAGCATTTACTAAGATGAACAGAACATTTATTACAGTATTTGTTTATGTCAGTTCATGTTAACTCACGATGCAATAACTAATGTAAACAAGCATGAATTTGGATGTTATTGAAGCAGTATCAAATGTTGAACTATCATTGCTAAATGCTGCACATGCATTGTTCATTATTAGTTCCTGTGAGTGAACACATTAACTAATGAAACCTTATTGTAAAGTGTGTCCTGTGATTAGTGTTATTACTTTAGTGATTTAGTATGCTGCCATTATGGTAATTACAAACTTATTACATTTCATGCTGAACTCATTACTGGCAAATTCACATTTTAGTTACATAAATTAATTACCCGTTATTACCATAATTATTACCACAGTGATTATCATTATTACTATAATAAAACTGTTAATAAGTGCAGTACAAAAGTGAAAATACTATGGTGTACGATGGTGCTTTATAATATTTTATGACACATTTTTACATGTTAAAATATCCTTTTATTGGTTACACTTTACCATAAGTTATTAGTTAATGTTAGTTAATGTGTTTACTAAGATGCACAGAACATTTATTACAGTATTTGTTTATGTCAGTTCATGTTAACTCACGATGCAACAAACAAGCATGAATTTGGATGTTAATAAAGCATTATTAAATGATTAATAAATCCTCTACATGCGTTGTTCATGATTAGTTTATGTTAATAAATACAAAAATGAAACCTTATTGCAAAGTGTGACTATTTCAGTAATATTATTATGTGATTTAGACGAGATGCGATGGACTCCTTGTTTTGGTAAAGAGACAAAGCTGTTTATTGTTATTCCACGTTTATAACAATCAGGATGTCAACTTAGCCTGTGGCTTGTGCATATTTATAAACACCGACACGTCTGTGTTAGGGATAAATATTATTATTTGGGTGGGAAACAAAAGCAGGCGAAGTGTGTCACATCGGCTCTTACATAACAAACATTCACTCACTCGCAGCATCAAACCTCTGAAATGCATTTAAAGCTAAAACGCATAGAAAATCTGGTCTCAGTGATGGAGGATGACCCACACATACATGTGTGCAGGCTGCGTTTCAAAACCTAGTAGATTCCTAAGCAGACAGCATCATGTATACATGCATTTCAGGTGGTTTAAAGAGCAATAACAACAGATCTCTCCAAAACATCGTGATTTTTTTATGGTAAAACATTAATGTAATAACATTGCAGGCGATTTGGGCTCTATTTTGAGACACGTTAATGTTCAGATGTGTTAATGATTCCCGCCCAAAAACATTACACACGCGCTAGCTCGAATGTGCTGTCTAGATAGGCAGCTCGCTAGGTTTTAAGGCACGGCCAGTGGAGTGCAGTTTACGTTATTCGTATCCTATAGAAAGACATAAACACAAAATATAAACACCAACCTTAATTGTCCGCTCTAAAGCCCTCCTGGGGGGTAACACAGGGTGTCTCTTAAGGAAAATAAAGAGGTGAGTGTTGAATTCTGTACGTTAGATTGCGTCGTCCGATGAGAATCCGTCTGTCAGTCCATCAGTAAATGGGTTAAAACTTCTCGGGCGAATTTTAACGCAAATTGTCGGGAACGGTCCCACATAGGCAGGAAGGATCTACAAGGCTTGAATTGGCAGGCATAAACGCGTTTTGATGCGAAAGAACAGCGCTGAATTGCGATACAACGGCGCGCCTTCGCCCGCACGT